GATGCGCTAGGTGGCAGAGGCGCTGACGCGGGAGGCCACACGGGGGAAAGCCACGTGGGTGATCCGTGCGCGCGCGATCGAACGGCTGAGACTCGTTCCCACGCGTATGGATGGTCCAGATTGCGATCGCGCACGGATGACCTAGATTGAATCGCGCACGGACGGTGCAGATTGAATCGTGTACGGACGATGCAGATTGAATCGCGATTGGACGATCCATATTAAAAACAATGGACGATCCAAATAAAAAATGGATGGGTATAAATAACTCCATCAGTACCCAAACCCTAACCCTAACCGCCAAAGCCCCTCACTGGGAAAGACAACCCAGCCGCTGGGGAGCCGACCGATGCCACCCGCCGCCGCACCGGAGCAATCTTCGACTGCCAAATGAGGTAAAAATTTTATTTTTTGCTCAAAATTTGATTTTAAACACACCTATAACAAATCTGGAGCAAAAAGACCGGCAGATTGGCCGAAAAACACTGGCAAAACCCGGCGACGCCGCCGTGGGGTATTTTGAAAAACACCTCCGATGAGCCCTTTCCGATTCCCGTTCGATATAATTTTTCCATCGTTGTGATCACTGTTTTCTTTTCTACAGGTTGACCAGAGCAAAACACTCAATTGCAATATGAGCCAAAGGAGCCGCCGCACTAAAGAGCCCCACCACCGATGAGTTTTAATTTTCTACGTTTTTTCGGCCAACCGAGGGTCCCAAGTGTGTTTTCTCGCAGGAACCGATGCAAATTTAGCTGAATTCGGCCAAAAATGGTCGAAAACAGCCAACTCGAGGAGGATCGCCACCGTACCAGATTTCCAAAATTGACTGAGTAGGCCCTGAAACTGATTTTTAGGTTTATTTGGGACATTTGTAGGTACCGTAAGCGCGTTTCAGTTTTCGAAGAAAAATTTAGGTAACCTAGGGACCGCTCGTAAACGCAGTAATCATTTAGCTTTTCGGTGTCAAATCAAGTAAGGACCCCTCACTCTATTTCTTATCATAGATTTAAAGTTTGAATAAACGGTAATACAGTCTTTTGTACAAATTAAATAGATGTGTATAATTAATTACGAATTGCTAATAGAAGCCGTACCGAACATTATTCTCTGTCGATTCTTGTTAATTTATTTTATAGTTTAAAAATATTATGGTATCTGATTTATCTATTGTATTATTTTAAATGCATGTATCACTGCTTTACTTGATTACTATGTGATTTTGAGATTTAAGATATGATTGCATTACTGGGTGCATGTTCATAGTTTATGTGATTATGTTTGATTTGGTAACGGATACTAAGAGAAAACAAGAAAGGGGTGTGATCTAATAAACAGATAAGATGACAGCCTCACTATATATATTGGGAGATGGTGGACGGACCGGGTTCATAGGGAACCCTACCGTGAATATTGTCTTATACCGGACGGGGTATGAAGGCTTGGTAATTTGGCATTCATACTGGACGGGGTATTGAGGTTTAATGTCTTAGCACTCAAACCGGACGGGATATGGGGACGGCTCTGTAACTAAGATTGTTAAGAAAAATGGTTCACGTGTAGCGGAGACACCCTTATGGGTCTCTATTGATACTAGTAGGTTGGTGAAACGAAAAACGGTTATGATTTAATTATTGTTAATGAATATGAATTTATGATATGTTTTATGTTACTGATTGTGCATGAAGTTATGATCTGTATGATATTATTGTCTCTATAGGTTGTTTTCATAAATTCTACAATTGTAAGTGAACTGTAAATGACTTTACGACTGATGAACGAATTGGCTAAATTTAGTGCTCCATTAGTTGTTTTGATTTTCTACCAACCTTTACTTCTGTGCCGGTGATATAGTGTGATATTTTTACTGAGCTAGTGTAGCCCATCCTTTATTTAATTATTTCAGATAAAGAGAACTTGATTCTAGAGCCCGATCTGCAAGAAGATTGCGAGTAAATGCTAGATATTTCATATTTTCTATTATTTTTTGTATTTCTCGTGTTTCTTTTAAAGGATTCATTCAGTAATGTTTGTTTACTATTTTTAAGTCATTATGTAAGGGATATAAATCTTAACCTTTTATTTCGCTTCCGCACTCAAATTATTAAATATATTTCATTTTGAATTTTCGGGTTCGTTACATATATATACAACGAGATTGAAAATAAATCTCACTTCCCTTGTCAACAAATGTTAATTTAATTGCTAAAAACGTTAATTTATATTTCAATTTGAGTTAAAATATATGTTTTTAGAACCAGGAATATATGCTTGTTCCCTTTATTTACCAAGTGATTAATGTGAGAAATGTGTTCTTAAATTTAATTCTTTTGAAATAAATTTAATTTATACTTTAATAAATATAAAAATAAATAAACGAAATTCCTTTTTCTCCTAAAAATAAAATAAAAATTATAAATGTTTGTCTTATCTTTAATAAATTTCTATTTTATTTTTTCATATTCTATTTTTTCAATTATTTAATTAAAACAAATTTTTGTTCTCGTAATTCATTATGACTAAGTACGTATTAATTACTTTAATGCTATCAATATACGAGTTGATTTTTAATTTTACTGAATTAAATATTATAAATATTTGATTTTAAAAAATAAAATTATTGTATTTTTTAAATTATTTTTAAATATATCCAAATATAATGTAATTATTATAATTTTTTAATTAAAAATACAAGAAAATTATATATTTAAGATAAATATAAAATTTTAAGATCAAATTATAAAATAAAAAAAATATGAATGATCAAATTATAATAAGTGTAAAATTTTATGAACTAATTTAATAATTTTTTTTTTATAAAAAAATAAGTAATACCCTTGAATAATTTTACAAATATATTTGAATATTATTAAACATTTCACTTAATGAATTAATGATTAGGGCAAAACTCTCATAACAACACACACATGTGAGTACATAAATGTATATAATTGTCAGTCCATATTTATTGCACAAACACACCAACATTTTCATTTATTTATATATATATATATATTATCTTTTTTCTTTCTTTCTTTGGAGGCAAGAATCATCATAATTAATTCTCATTATTTTGTTCCCAAAAAATGTCAAAAGTAGTTTCATTACAGTTTATATATATATATATATATATATACACACACACACACACACACACACACATTTTCATACATTTATATATATATATATATAAGATTTTAAATAAATATAAATATATAAAAATATTAATTAGCTTAATTGGTAGATGAAACATCCAATAACATATGCATATTGAAGACTTATTTAATTTTTTACTAATTAAAAATTAAAGAGCTATAAAGCATGAGATTATATAAGACTTAAAAAAAAGGAAAGACTTGAATTGATGGAAGCATGATGACTACTTGATCATCCCAATCTCAGGCTATGATTAACCCAACAGTTGCCACACTATATCCACTGATCATTCATGATTATGATCAAACAAATCACTACTGTATCATCCCATGCATTATTATATGCTATTTCATCATATACACACATATCACATACATACATATATATATATATCTATATGCAAATCTTTATTTGTTGTGCATTGTAATAAAAATTTATTTTTTAAGTTGAATCTTTTGCATGTCTTACACAGAGAGAGAGAGAGAGAGAGAGAGAGAAGAAAGAAAAAGAAATCAGGTTAGAAGTAATTATAATGTATATTAGGAATTTTAAAACTACTGTTAAAATAATTATTTATTAATAATGTTTGTGTTAAAAGTTAAATTAAACTAAACTTTACACAAGGTGTGTGTGTGTGTATATATATATAGAAGTTTTTATTAAAGCTAATATATAAAAAGAAAAGGCTAGTTCAATCTTTTTTTAGTTGGTAGCTTTCATCAAGAATGATGACAGTCTCCAAAAGCAACACAAACCTTTCAGAATTCCTGCAAATTTTCTCTCATGACAAACAAAAACCATGTCAACAAAAAAGAAAAAGGCCATTCTCACAGTCTTACACTACCTTTCACCGAAAAGTGTAAGCACACCAACATGTTCTTGACTTTAGATTAAGCACATTTTAATAACAAACCCTCCTTAAAAGAGCTAATCTCTTACTTCCCTTCTTTAATCCTGCATGGGTTCATGTGACTTTTACCTCACTCCAGCTTAATTTTCTCTCTTTTCTTTCTCTCCAAACAGCAAAAGAGAGGTTCAGAACTTAAATTGGAAGATTCTGGGACCTGTCAAGGGGTAAGAATAAAATACCCAGTACTGCTTTGTGGCTGACAAAGAGTTTGGTTGTGTCCATGGAGGTGGGTTCTTGAAAGGGAGAGAGGATTTTGGGTGGTGGGGGCTGGTGTTGCAGAAGCTTTTAGCAAAATCTGGGAGATGGGTGTTGTTACTATTGCTGAATTAAAGCCAAGTGTATCAGGAAAGAGATCTTTTCGTCCGAGTTCAAGCATAAGGCATGCCACTGAATGGTAATATCTTCTTCCCCTTCTTCTTCTTCTGCGTTTGCATGTACATACATACATTGATATAAGACACACACACAAAAACAAACAAACCCTTTATGTTTCAACTTGGGTTTTGTCTGATTATGTCTCCAATTTCTGGTAGTTGTTCATGTGTGTCTTTGAAAGAGTCTTGAGGTTGAAGTTGCAGGCCAACTGGTTGTTAAAAGTACTAGCTAAATAACCCAGTATTTGAAAGACCAATTTAGAAACTTTTGAAACTTGAGGTCCTAAACAGTTTAAGGATTTAATGGTATGTGATTTATTGGATTAATTGTTATTGTTATTATTATTTTCATGAGATTTATAATAAGCTGGCAGACAAGGAGGAAGATTTCTTTTATCCATAAATGATTGATTAAATGGTCCTTAAACATCTTGAAATCAGACGATTGTGGTAGATTTGCTGAGAAGTGAAGCTCAGGTTTTAGGTTTGCTTTTAAGGCTCACCCTCCTGTGGTCCCTCTAGAATTGGGACATGAAAATAACTCTTCATGAAACAAGTTTGATTGGAGTATAGTTCTGATGTGGGATTAAATCTGAGACCTCTATTCTCTTGATTTTTTTCAGATTAAAATATCTGCAAATTTTCTGCTCTTAATGCTTTCTTTTTCCCTTTTTTTTTTCTTTATCAATAATATTAGAGAACCTCAAGTTTATATGAAGAGTTCCCGGAAACAGTTGGCTGAGGAACTCTATATGGAATGCGAAGGACATGTGTAGTTATATGTTAAATTCAAGGGACCCATATGGCTCCACATTAAATCAACATTGATGAAAGAAATTTGGATGAACTATTTCTGTTTTAAGAACACCAGAAATTGATATTAGAAACCTTAAATTTAGGCTTTTCTACCTTTAACAAACTGTTAGGCTGTTTTGCATTTTGTAATTATTGAGCTGTCATTTTCCCATCTGGGTCCTCCATGTCTAACCATAGGATCAAGATGGATCACACACTGTCTTTAACTTTGAGCTATATATATATATACAAAAAGAAAAAAAATACTTAATCTTTGATACAGCCCACTACTTTAGGATTTCATGGGTTCAAACAAGGGAATCCAGGGATACTGTGCTAGAAGCTCATACATGATTCCTAAATTACTGCCATTAAACAACTTGTATGATGCCTTTGCTTCTTTCCTTATCGCACTTCTTTGCTTAGTTTCCTCTTCGAACTTTCTTATGTGCCATATGAATAATTACTTCAACCGGTTAACTGTATGCATTGCAGGCCAATTTCTGATGTTTCTAGTGATCTGACAATTGAAGTAGGCGGTTCAAGTTTTTCACTTCACAAGGTAAGAGGAATGTGGTTTAGCCACGTCTTTCAAGGATTATTAGTCATTTTTCATGCTTGGTTGTTGTTATTATATACTTATATTTACAGGTCCCAGTTAACGTGTAGTTGTTCATGGAAAACTTTGTCTTTCTCTATCCCCTCCCATCATCATATAAGAAACAAAAGGAAAGAAACATTACCTGTGTGCTACCTGTCTCACATATTGTCAAAATCTTAAAAAGGAAATTTACTTCGTTACCGAATTGATATCATAACTAAATCTGATATATTTCGTGTAGAGAGATGAAGATTCACTACTTCATACGTATGGTTAATTTATTTAATTTTATTTGTCTCTTTGTTTTAAGAATTTTGTTTGAAAAGGATTAAGATTCTGGAAATAGTCCATTAACTGCATAATTTTCTTAATGCTACTAGCTTTATGCATGCCTGACATATAGAGCACAAATAAACAGCAATTCCCTTCACTCTCAGTTTCTTCAAATACAAATATATTGTAGAGAAATTATAATATGTTAATGAAGCACACGGAAGACGAACTCAAGAGAGATGAACTTGAAAGCCAGAGTAGAGAGAAACAAAGAAAATCTTTGGTCTTTATTGGAGAATTTACTCATCTTGTAGCAATTCTTTTGCAGTTCCCTATTGTTTCTCGAAGTGGGAAAATCCGGAAATTGTTGCTGGATGCCAAAGATTCAAAAATTTCACGGGTAAATCTTCCAGCTGTTCCAGGTGGATCAGAGGCATTTGAGCTTGCTGCAAAGTTCTGCTATGGAGTTAATATTGAGATCACTCTGTCAAATATTGCCATGCTACGCTGTGCAGCTCATTTCCTAGAAATGACAGAAGAGTTTGCAGAGAAAAACTTGGAAGCTCGAAGCGAAGCTTACCTGAAGGAGGTAGTATTCCCTAACATATCAAGTTCAATCACTGTTCTTCATAGGTGTGAAAGCCTCTTGCCTATATCAGAAGAGATTAACTTGGTTATCAGGCTTATCAATGCCATTGCAAACAATGCGTGTAAAGAGCAGCTGACATCTGGTTTACAAAAACTTGATCGTAACTTCCCAACAAAACCTATTGCAAATGTAGAACCAGAAACACCCTTGGATTGGTGGGGAAATTCTCTTGCAGTTCTTAGTCTTGACCTTTTCCAAAGAGTTCTCTCTGCAGTAAAATCAAAGGGCCTAAAGCAGGATATGATAAGCAAAATTTTAATAAACTATGCGAATAATTCTCTACAAGATCTTGTTATCAGGGATCCCCAGTTGGTTAAAGGAAGCCCCATTGATCTGGAGTTGCCGAAGAAGCAGAGGGTCATTGTTGAAGCAATAGTTAGCTTACTCCCAACTCAATCAAGGAAAAGTCCAGTCCCAATGGCATTTCTATCAAGTTTGTTGAAGACTGCAATAGCAGCATCAGCATCTACTTCTTGCAGATCAGATTTGGAGAGACGGATTGGTCTTCAACTGGACCAGGCAATTCTTGGCGACATCCTAATTCCAGCAAATTCACATGGCAGCAACCACAGCACGATGTACGATACAGAGTCAATTCTGAGGATCTTCTCCATGTTTTTGAACTTGGATGAGGAAGACGATGACGAGGATAATCACTTGAGAGATGAAAGTGAAATGGTATATGATTTTGACAGCCCTGGCTCTCCAAAACAAAGTTCAATTCTCAAGGTATCAAAATTATTGGACAATTATCTTGCTGAAGTTGCATTAGACTCAAACTTGATGGCATCAAAGTTCATTGCTCTAGCAGAACTCCTGCCAGACCATGCTCGGATAGCAAGCGATGGACTGTACAGAGCTGTGGATATCTTCCTTAAAGTAAGCAACCCTCTTCTTTCTCCTTCTCATTGTTTCATTCTCTTCTAATTCATGAAAGCACCAACCATTTTCCCATGCCCTCATGAGCACTAACAGATTTATGTTCAACATGCTTCATAGGTGCACCCAAACATCAAGGATTCCGAACGGTACAGACTCTGCAAAACCATAGATTGTCAGAAACTGTCTCAAGAAGCCTGCAGTCACGCAGCACAGAATGAAAGATTACCCGTCCAGATGGCAGTCCAGGTGTTGTATTTCGAGCAAATCAGGCTTAGGAATGCAATGAGTGGGGGACATAACCAGTTCTTCTTTGGTGCGTTACATGGTCAATTCCCTCAACGTTCAAGCAGTGGAGCAGGAAGTGGAGCCATCTCGCCACGAGACAATTATGCATCAGTAAGAAGAGAGAACCGAGAACTGAAAATGGAAGTTGCAAGAATGAGAATGAGGCTAACAGACCTAGAAAAGGACCATGTTTCTATGAAACAGGAGCTTGTAAGGTCTCATCCTGCCAACAAACTATTCAAATCCTTTACCAAAAAACTAAGCAAGCTCAATGCCCTTTTTCGGATCAATAGTATTAAGCCTATAGGGGGGAAGGCTAGTTCAGAAACCCGGTTCTTGTTTCAGAAGAGAAGGCGTAACTCTGTCTCGTGATCATGTACAATAAGTGTGAATAAGTAAAGTGAAAAAAAAAGAAAGTGTGTATAGTTGTATTTCTAGTGTGAAATTTTGTCTATTAATGGCAGGCAGAATACTTGTTGAGTTGTTGATTCTGAGTTGTTTGTTGTTGCTGCTTTGTTCAGTGAAATTACTGGCTTGACATTTTGAAGGAGTCTTGATCAGGAAAGTACTCAGTCACAAAACTAGTGCAATTCTAATTGCATCTCCCACTGTGTGAAGACTTGTAGATCATTGAAGAACATTAAACTAATATCTCTTTTTTTTCTCGCTATTCTATTTCTTCCTTGTTTCATCTCTTACTTTGTCGAGTATTTCAAATGAAGAAGCTTGAACATATTAGATAATTATTATATGGTAAAAGAACTAGGATTTTATATCAAAAGTACGCACGCGACTATTGTGTCGGATTTATATGAGTTTGGACTCTCCCACCTTTTAGGGTGTAGTTATCTTGTACCCATAAAAACGATACTATATCAATCACCAACTTCTTCATGTTGCAATAGAGCAGCCTAGGTAATCTTAGAACTGCAATGTTTGCTTGAAATTAGTTAAAAGGAGAGAGTACAAAGTCAATTTGCATGGGCAATGAGACTGTGGATCTTGGTGGTGTAGGAAAATAAATTTGATCATACTACAAAGCCCATAAATTTGGCGTGAGATTTATATGAATTTGGTCTCTCCCACCTTGATAGCTAATTTTAGGATGTGACTCTATTAAACTCATAACAAATATAATCTTCTAATTCTAAAAAATAGATATTGAAAACGACACCTCTAGTCAACATCTTATGAAAATAATCTTTTTTTTAATATAAGGAAAGAAAACAAACACAACAAGACAGAACAGAAAATACATTTAGGTATTACACATTCTAAATCAAAAGACTCCGATGATGTCCTCTGTAATGATGTTCAGTAGTCTCATAAAGGGTGCTGTAAGTGATATAGTTCAGAGGGCCAGTGAAATGCTTGATTTGCCAAATAGTCTGCACACCGATTTCCTTCACGATAAATAAGTTATATATTAACAATATAATTTTTTATAAGCCAAATCTTAATAGCCAGAATAAGGTTAGAATTAGCATTGACAGAGACCACTTTATTGTTAATTACTTTATTCAAGACTTGAAAAGCGAGAGCACTATCCATCTCCAAGATAACATGATGTGAATGATACAACCAGAATATCAGCAAGGATCCCAGTCAAGAATCCCAAGTATCTCTGATTCTGGTATCATTGAAGCAAGCAAAACTTCCTTAAGACCCGGTCAATTATTCAGTATCAAATTATCCTTTGTTTTTTAATTTATTTCTAGTATTATCTTATCTTTTGATTTGTTGAGATTGTTTGGTTGCTATTAACCGTTGTGCTCCTTGGATAACAGGGAGAAGTTGTTGTTTCCTTTTCTATTTAAAGCCCCATCAGATTATGGATGAGGCAAGTATTAATTAACAAGAAAACTGTGATTTTTCTATTCGAAAAATAGAAGCTTTCGTTTGCAATCCTTCTTGTGTTTTCTGGACATCTATCATTTTGGTATCAGAGCCATGTCTCACAAGAAAAAGATTGAGAATTTGGAAGAAAGTATCGGAGGACTGCAGGACAGCTTCAGCTAGATGGAGCTTCGAGTCGCCGATAAACTTCATCAAATGTAGGATACCCTCAAATAATTAACAGAGACTCTGTTAATCAACCGTGAAGACTCCAGCTGCAATACCCCAAACCAAAATGGAGAAACGTGACCAAACCGCGACGAAAGAGCTGAGTGAAATGATGGTGGCCGACAACCATTCTTCTCCAACTCGCCAAGTTGGAATTTCCTATCTTTTCCGGAGATGACCCGACCGAATGACTTAACCGCGTCGCACAATTCTTTGAGTACCAAGGAATTCCTGAAAAGCAGAAAGTCCAAGTAACTTCTTTCCACTTGGAGGGCGAAGCCAACCAGTGGTGGCAATGGCTTCGCCGAACTTATCAAGAAGAAAGAAGAATAGTGACATGGATAGGATTTGAAGAAGAGGTTTGTGTTGGGCCACCCGAATGTGAAGACTTCGACGAAACCCTATCCAGAGTAAGGCAGATTGGGGCCTTATGAGATTATCAAAAAGAATTTGATAGGTTGGGTAACAAAGTGAGAGGCTGGACTCAAAAGGCCCTGGTTGGTACATTTATTGACAAACTGAAGTCTGAAATTGCTGAAGGTATTCGGACCCAAATCTTTGAAAGAGGCCATCAGCTTGGCCCGTATGAAAGAGGAGCAAGTGGGTCGACAGAGAAGGTTCAATCGGGTCGGACGTAACCCAATCAACCTGCCCCCAACCCTAGCTACAGATTCCGCCCTGAAGTGCCTCTCGTGGGAAGAGATGCAGCACCGTCGAATGCAGGGCCTCTACTTCAACTGCGACGAGAAATTTACCACAGGCCACCGCTGTCGCCGAGCTCAAGTCCTGCTCTTGGAAGGGACCGAAGAAGAAGAAAAAGAAGAATCGAAAGAAGAGGAGTCCAAAATTTCCCTTCATGCTTTCACTGGTTGGTCCACCATAAAAAGAATGTGTGTTGATGCAACCATCCACAGTTAACGCATCGTCATCCTTATCAACAGCGGCTTGACTCACAACTTCATCAGTGAGCGAGTTGCGAGCTTGCTAAAGTTACCAGTACTCCCGGCTCAAGCCTTTTCGGTCAAAGTTGCGAATGGTAGTCCGATGAGATGTCACGGACGATTTGAAAATGTGTTCGTTAACATCCAAGGTATCCTCTTCCATTTGACTATTTTTGTTTTACCATTAACTGGTCTCGATTTTGTTCTTGGAGTTTAGTATTTGGAAGTATTATGAGCTGTTATGTGTGATTAGGATTGGATGACCATGGAATTCTAGTGGGGTGGTCGACTGCGACAGTTACGGGACCTTGACGCTCCACCTCTCCAGATTGCTTCAGCTGAAGAAGTCGCCAAAAGCACGCTTCGACACTTCTCTCTGTTTGCGGTGTAGCTGCAAACAGAAAACAACACCTCTCTGATCCACCTCCATCCAGATATGCAAGCTCTCTTGGATCAGTATCAGGTTCTTTTCAAAGATCCACAGTCAATTCCTCTCTGTCGAGACGTTGATCACCGCATCAGTTTGAAGGAAGATGTTGAACCCTTCAATGTCAGGCCATACAGGTATGCCTATTTCTAAAAAAGTGAAATTGAAAAATAGGTGAATACAATTCTTGATTCAGGGCTGATTTGGCCAAGCACTAGTCCATTCTCCTCACTGGTGCTATCGGTGGGCAAAAAAGATGGAACTTGGAGGTTTTGTACAGATTACCGGGCCCTCAATTCAGTTACCATCAAATACAAGTTTCTCATCCCTACGGTTGATGACATGCTAGATGAACTCCATGAAGTTGCTTTCTTTACTAAACTCGATCTCACTGCGGGTTACCACCAAGTAAGAGTACATCCATCGGATATTCACAAGACGGTCTTCCGCACTCATAACGGTCATTATGAATATCTCGTCATGCTATTTGGGCTTTGCAATGCTCCTTCCACCTTTCAAGCAGTCATGAACAACATCTTCTGCCAGCATCTCTGTAAGTTTGTTCTACTTTTTTTTTATGACATCTTAATATACAGTCCCAACTGAGAATTACATCTTGAGTAGGTTAAGCAGGTTTTTGACATCCTCCGGCAACATTAATTTTTCATCAAGTTAAAAAAATGTGTCTTTGAACAAAAAGAACTTGAATACTTAGAGTACATAGTCACATCGCAAGGGATCAAAGTGGATCAAACCAAAATTAAGGCCATATTAGATTGGTCTCGACCAAACAACATCATTGAACTGAAAGGATTTTTTGGGTTTGACAGGCTATTACCGGAAGTTTGTTCGGCAGTACGGAATTCTTGTTTGGCCTTTGACTAATCTCCTAAAAAATGGACAATTTGGGTTGTCCGAGGAAGCAGAATCAGCTTTTTAAATGTCAAGGTTACTCTGACCACAACTCTTACTTTGGCACTCCCGAATTTTAAAAAGTCATTTATCATAGAAACTGATGCTTCTGGCTACGGCATTGGAACCGTCTTTACTCAACATGGGCAACCTATAGTTTACATGAGTCAGGCATTAGGTGTTGCCAAGCAGACATGGTCGACATACGCCAAAGAGATGCTTGCCATTGTTATTGCCATAAAATTATGGAGTCCGTATTTGATGGGAAGAAATTTATATGTGCACACGGTTCAGAAAAGTTTGAAGCATTTGCTGGACCAACGAATTACAACCCCAGAACAATAAAACTCTCTAAGTTATTTGGCTACGAATATGAGATTGTGTACAAATCAGGAAAAGAAAACTCGGTCGCCGATACTCTACCTCGTAGGGAAGATAGCCTCACTCTACACGCTATCTCTATGCCCAAAAATAATTTATGGAACACCATCAAGAAAGCTGCAGATCATCCCTATATGCAGACAACCCGCAAGTTAGTCACTGACTTAGCAGGTGGTTCCTTTTCACTCAAGAATGAGTTGATTTATTTTAAGCATTGAATTGTTGTCCCTTCTAAATCAAAAATCACACAACAATTATTACAGGAATTCCACTCATCTTTGACAAGTGACAACTCAGGTTTCCAACGAACTTACAAAAGATTAGCCCAACAATTTTATTGGTCAGCCATGTACCAAGATATTAAAGAATATGTAGCAGCATGTAACACCTGCCAACGAGTCAAAACTGAGACACTCTCACCAGCCGGCCTTCTCCAACCGTTGTCAATCCCTTGCCAAATATGGAACGATATTTTCAAGGATTTTATTGAAGGACTGTCTATCTCAAACGGAAAGAATACTATCTTGGTTGTGGTTGATCGTCTTAGTAAGAGTGCGCACTTTATCGCTTTAGCTCACCCTTACACCGCTAAGATCGTAGCAGAAACATTTGTGGATAATGTGGTAAAATTATATGGTATGCTCCGCTCCATAATTAGTGACAGGGATTTGGTCTTTACTAGTCGTTTATGGCAAGAGTTTTTTAAGTTGTCTGACACTCCGAATGAGCTCCTCCTATCATCCGTAAACAGATGAACAGTTAGAAGTTGTGAACCGCAGTGTGTAACAATATCTACGGTGCTTAAGCCACCAACAACCACGCAAGTGGAGTTCTCTCCTTCCTTGGGTCGAATTTTGGTACAACACAACTTACCACTCCTCTATCAAGATGACACCTTTTCAGGCCTCATATGCGAGACCACCGTCGCCCATTCCCCATTACCAAGACGGCGAACCCTTGTCAATGAAGTTAACCAACAGTTTTGTAACCGAGATGCCCTCCTCAAACAACTTCGAACTAATTTACAAGCAACCAACAGTAGCACGCAAGCCACCGCCAATGTCCATCGATGTGAAGTCGAATTTCAGGAGGGCAATTGGGTCTTTCTCAGGCTCCGACCATATCGGCAGCAAACGGTTTTTAAGAGAACCTTCCAGAAGCTCGCATGTCGATATTATGGGCCTTATCAGATCCTCCATCGTATTGGCCTTGTTACTTACAAGCTTCTACTTCCACAAGGGTCACGTATCCATTCTGTTTTCCATATCTCCATGTTAAAAACAAATTGGTGAAGCAATTGCCCCTATTGAAAATCTGCCTGAAATATCTGAAGATGGAGATCTACTGCTGCAACCCCAAACCATTTTGGAAACTCGATGGATCAAAAAGAGAGTAAAATTTGTTGAAGAAAGTCTTGTCCAATGGAAGAATTTGCCCCTAGAAGAAGCTATCTAGGAAAATAACAGTGAACTAACAAATAAATTTGGTCACTTGAAACTTGAGGATAAGGTTCCCACAAAAGAGGGAGGAAATGATACAACCAGAAGATCAGCAAGGATCCCAGTCAAGAATTCCAAGTATCTCTGATTCTGGTATCGTCGAAGCAAGCAGAACTTCCTCAAGACCCAGTCAACTATTCAGTATCAACTTATCCTCTATTTTTTAATTTATTTCCAGCATTATCTTATCTTTTGGTTTGTTGAGATTATTTAGTATTTGTTGAGATTATTTGGTTGCTACTAGCTATTGTGCTCCCTGGATAGCAAAGAGAAGTTATTGTTTCCCTTCCTATTTAAAGCCCCATCAGATTATGGATGAGGCAAACATTAATTAACAAGAAAATTGTGGTTTTTCCATCCCAAAAATAGAAGCTTTCGTTTGCAATCCTTCTTGTGTTTTCTAGGCATCTATCAGTGAGCTCAGGTTCCATGCTAATGTGAGACCATTCAGGACCCCCCATAGCTCAGCTTGAAGGATAGAGCAAACACCAATAATCCTGAAGTGCCCCCCAAGCTACTGACTATTACTATCCCTACCATTCGCACCAGCACATGCAATCTCAGTGCTACCACGGAGAGCCCCGTCCGTGTTGATCTTGATCCAGTTCTGGGGCGGCAGTGTCTGATTGATGAGCTTCTCCTTCTTTCGGGCGTGATGGCCAAAGATAGTAGACTCGATGATAAAAGCCTAGAGCATATACTCAGTCATTCTGAAAGTCTCATACTTCAATTCCTCCAAGATAAGGGATCTCCCACCAAAGACGAACGCATTGCGATGTTTTCAAAGTAGCCAGTAAGTGATGTTAAACACAATCTTCCAGTTTTGGAATGATGAACACCAACTATGCTTGTTCTACAGGTTAGCACAAACCTAGTCATCAAAATGTGTGCTAAAGAAGCTATGACGAGCCGTCTGTGGAATGATTTTCTTGCAGAGACCCTTTACTTGATGACACTCCCTCAAGACGTGATTAATGTCCTCAATGTCAAGCTCACAGATAGTGCAAACCAGATCATCCATCATATGCCTGCAGACCTGCTCCTCGCTTGTAAGTAAGCCTTTTCGCAAGACTAGCTAGAGAAAGTGTTGAATGCATTGCGCGCCCAACCACTTTCATGTTAAATACCACATGTTATCTGTAAAAAAAAGAGAGATGTCAATAAACATATTGTAAGCAGATTTAACAGAAAACTTACCATCAGGCAAGAGACCCCAATACGGGACATCCACCTCCATACCATCCTGCAGAGCTCTGATAGCCGCCAACTGAAGGAGAATCCTAGTCAAGAGCCTACTCTGAAATGGTTCCAATCACACTGACCGATGGTCACTAGATCCCTAACTTTTTTGGCCCAATGGATATCATCAATAGGTTAGAATGCAAGAAGCTTGAGAGGACCACAGCCCCCTAGTCAATTATCCTCCCAACATCTCGCTCTAGTGTCATCACCAACACACCAAGCCAAACCATATCTCAAATCCTCTCAGATCCCATGCAACTTCCTGCACAGATGAGAGCAAATATTTAAATTGATGGGAGCCGTATAATGGAGATCCCATTTATACTTATGGCGCAAAATTTTGACCCCAAAAAAAATGCGATTTGGTGATGATGGTAGAACACTTTTATGAGAAAAACTTTGTTGAGTGGTCTGAGGCTTTGAATACCAAGTCCTTTATGGATGGCAAATCGGCACATATCTTTCCAATTAATAAGGCTTGACTTTTTTGCATTGCTAGAAGAACCCTAGATGAAGTCACATACAAGCTGATCAACACTAAACTTTTTAACCTTAATGCTGGATTTAATTAAGTAAAATTGTATTCATGGTCAAGAAAATCAATAATTTACTTCAAGTAACTTGTCACTTAACAAAACGGTGCGTTCACCTCAGTAGAGTGGTTTGCATTTTTTCTATTGTAGTTTTTCAGCCAAACGGTGCGTTTTCTGCTGTAATCTAATATCCACCAAAACGATGCGTTTAATTTTCCCCAGATGTGCCTGCAAAAATAATCAGCGTTCTTCACGAGGAAGCTGACTCTCCTCCTGTGTGCGCAGAACCTGAACTGTGACTATCGGCCGAGATGAATCTCTTACTTTCGCGGATAGGGAATGCTTTTCCCTTGTCAAGAATTTTCAGGTTTCAATAATGACATGAGTATTCTCTTAGTTGGAATTTCATTTATGTCTTCTCTCTTTAGGTTCTGGTCCTGTTTACTCTTCTATCTCAATCTCCTTCATCATGACTAATCATGAGTAAAACGGTTTTGTTTTAACAATAGCGTCCGTTACTGGGTTTTGAATAGTGAAGATTCTTTGCCGGGCGTTATCTATTCTCTTAACAATGTGATTCTGGGTTAGTAAAATTTAAAGGGTATGTCTGGTTGCTTCGTTGCAACTTCAAAAAAATTTTCTTCGAACTTTGTGGCATTTGATTCAAGTGAAAATATAAGAAACGCCCTGGTTGTTTTGGGAAGAAAATTGAATTTCACGGTTACTTAAGATGAGTGTCTGAGATATTGGTGAGTTTTGTTTTCTTTTGTTTAAAATGGCGTTTGTTTTAGTGGGATCTCCAGAGTGGGAGTTTGATATTTTCTTCCTTGTCAGGTGGTCAAAGTTCAGTTTTGTTTTTGGGGGGGTTGGTGTTGAATTTTGATTTCTTGTCTGATAGGCAGCTGGAGCAAGAGATGGAAACGGTGGTTAAGGTGCTACAACCTGGTCCATTGGGAATCATAGAACACAAATTCTCTGCAAAGGAGATTCAAGAGGCAAATGCTACAGTTCGTCGAGCAGTAGAGAACTGGCAAAGGAATGCAAAATCACAGCAGTATGGAATCTTAAAGGATTATATTAATCACTGAAGAAGTACTTGTTTTAGTTATTATTTTATAGGTCGTTGAATAATCCAAAAGTTTTTGGTGTTTGTAAGTTTGAAGTTTCAAATTGTTTGAAAATTTTTTGACCACTCTTCTTCCCTCCAGCCAAATAATCATCTGGCTCTCTTGACACTTGATTCCGTTTAGAATATGTGATTTCTCCTATTCTCTTCTATTAAAATTTGATAATGTGGAATTGGAAACGTTCAACTGCTTTTATTGTTTGTTTCTACTACACAATGGCATTTGGAAGTCGAGGATAATCTTTTGGTTTCTGGTACTTTTTTTTCACACCTATATTTAGTTCAAGTGTATTTCCCCATATACAATGTGAAAAAGGTTGAACCATTCTCGCAAATCATGTAAATAAAGTATACTTTTATTTAGCACAATCAAAGGATATTGTAGGTAAAAGCTAAAATACAAGTTCTCTTGAGCCTAACACATGAAAAGTATAACCCTGCTCAGCCCAAATAGAAGGCACAGGGTAAAGTGGCTCTATAGGGTAACAAAAGTGCTTAGCTTTGATCTCATGTTACTATTTAAAGGAGACAGATGGATATCTTCTTATTTGCAGCATGGTATAAGTTTAGAAATGACTCTGTGTTTTAAACCCATATAGCTCCAGCTCTTCTGAGCAAGGGAGATAGCTGGTTCTGCACTTGCAGGGTCATGATCTGATTAGCACCACCAACTAACTGCTGCCCAATGAACACGGCTGGTACACTCGGGTTCAAGCCCAACTGGACCAATGCTCTTTCAACTTCTCGACCATTTGGAAGTTGATCGAGTTCATAAACTGTAGGATTAGCTCCAAATCCACAAATAAGTGACTTAATGGTGTGGCTCATGCAACAAGAGCTCCTGCTGAATATGACAACTGGTCTTTCTGCAATGAAATTGGTCACAACCTCCATTGCTGTTGAGAAGGGAAGAGTATGGAATATGAGTATGTGAGTGAATGCTGAGCTTGTTGAGGGACTTCTAAAGGACTTGCTGTTATGTTCGTGAATCTAACCACCACAAGGAGGTCTATTTATAGTGACCATTTGGATATTATGAATTGCATCTTTCGTGATAGAAACAAAATTGAGAAAAGCATAAAATTTTCAAGATTAATTATATGTTGGATTACCATATTACCCTTGATAACTTCATGAGAATGACCTTGCAGTCTCTGCATTTTGAGTAACAAGTTGTATACAAGTATGCTAACATACATGTGATGATATTTCTTTACAAAATGACCAAAATAAGCTTCTTATGTCTAAGTCGTAGATTACAGTTACGTATTTGCTTAGCATGACCTAATAATGGAAGCTTTTTTTTTAAGAATAGAAATATGATGTAGAGGTGCTTTCTCTCTTCATCATCTACTAATCTTCTATGCTTGACTTGAAAATTCTTCCTTTTTTTTTTTGTCGATATCAGGTGGGAGCCGAGGTCTGAGACAAGAAACTAAAAGTGCTCGATACGAGATGAAACTCTTATGGTCATTTTGGTAATTTACTCTCTCAATCTCTTTTTCTCTTTTCTTTATATGATTTTCTCTTGTGTCTTGCATATGTTCTATCTATTTTGAGCATCTGCTGAGGTGGAAAAAGAATTTGGGTTTATCCAATTACCTGTAACTTTTTTCCCATATTGAAGATTCCCATATTTTCAGTTCAAGAAAACCGAAAGACAGAGAGAAACACAGGAAAAGCAGAAGTCTTGAAAGTGAAAACTACTGAAGGTAAGCTGCTCTTCATAGCCTGCTGACCATTACTGCACCACATTAAGCGGTAAGCCTCTGAGATCTACTTGGAAGAGCATGCTCGATTAAGATATTCTCTCAACAAAACACTTGATTAGTGCACCAAACTATTGGAAATTCCTATTTTACAATCCTTATCATCATTTGATGCTCCAAAAAAAAGTGTATATAATATATAGATATAGTGCATCCTAGTGCTTGTTGCCACATCAAAAGATCTTGCAAAACTTTGCTGAAAAGTCCAGATGGTTGAATTAGAAGCATGTAAATATGATTAAGCCTTTTTTAATTTTTGATTATCTGGTGAATTATTGCCAGCAAATGGCTTTCCAATTGCAAGATTTGGATTCTTGATCCATTTAATTAGCCATCTGCTCATTTGACTAATGAAGAATATTACTAAAAATTATATAGCAGAAAAGACATGATGTGTAGTGTAGGGATCTTCTTTTCCTGCTAGCCGCTGATATAGGAAACCTATATAAACATATGGGCTCCTTTTCTTTGCCTTCTTGGTTAGTTTATATCAAGAAATGGACCTACCTACTTTAATAAGTCAGATTAGAATGATGAAAGCTTGTAATTTATGGCCTTGCAGTTAAAGCAGACAGCCATAGACTACATTTCTAAAGCAATCCAACCCAGAAAAGAAAGCTTAAGACTTAATTTAAAAGTCAAAAGCTACCCTAATTTCTCAATAAAAATTATTTATAAATTTAAAAATAATAACAAAAAAATATATATATTACATGAGCATATGAGTTTGATTGTACTTATGTGTGCTATAATACATAAATATTTATTTACAAATAATATATATATATTAATTATAATATAATTTTTTAAACAAAAATGTACATAAACACAATTTGATTTGAACTTATAATTTATTTTACTACAAGTTTTAGTGTTTACTTAATAATCACTCAAACTCTGTTGACTTATATGAAGTTACCCAATAAATAATTAATTTATAATTTGATGCTGATTTGGTATTGATCACAATTGGATTTTAGAGAATATATACATATATATATATATATTGTGTGTGTGGGTGTGTATGTGTACATATATATATATATATATATGTGTGTGTGTGTGTGTGTAATGTGAGTGTAGTTTTGGGTTATGATGGATGGATTTACTACATCACTGAAAATGATGTTATCATCACTATATCTATATGCATCTAGTTGGGCAATCAGAATATATTCCTCCAATTCACAGAAACAATGACATGAGACATAAACACCAAAATCTTGAGAATTAATCATGAAAGATCACCCCCTACATCCTCACAGAACAAAAGATATTAAGGATCCAACTTTTCTTCTTGGTACTAATTCGAATCAGAGGTGTATATATATATATATATACATATATTTATATATGTAAAAAAATTATATGGGTATGTGAAAAGATGTATAAATGACTCGAGAAAATAGCGAAAGGCCGGTTATATATATATGGGTTTGTAGGGTCACTTGAGTTTTGATTTGATCTACATACATACATATATATATATATATATATATATTAGAATAGATTTGATCTATCAATTCATGGATACATCACTTATCTATATTGAAATCCGTACATGGTACTATCTTGTTATGTACTTTCTCATGCAATTTGCAGCCAGTCAACAGGTTATTTAGGTTTTTCTTTTTTCTTTTTTTTTTAATAATTCAAACAAATATTTTTTAATTAATTTAAAATATGAATAGTTAATATGTATTTAATTTATTTAAAACAATCTTTACGAAGCAATAAATAGGATTAATTCATTAAAAAATTTAATCCCATTTCAAAACTCAGTATCGATTAAACTAAGACCATCCACTAATTTTCTCAAATTGCAATCATACAATCCAGAGGGTAATCTCAAAATCATATTGTTCATCCGGTATATATAATGGATCGGTGGAATTGTTAGGATTCTGAGATATAATGGTTTGATTCTAATATTTGAAACTTACATAGAAATGTATGTATGTATGTATATATATATATATATATATATCTCTCATTAAATTTGTAACTTCTACATATGTATTACAACACAATCTTCCATTAACATTATTCTAAGGTGTGGTTCTCTAATCCCATATCACATTTTATGTGGAACAGTCGGCGGTCGCTCGGAATCTTTGATTGATTTTCAAGAATAAAGTGAGATATTATAATCAACTAAGAGAAAATCTGGTGGGGGGTAAATTCTGAACAATTTTTTTCCCTTCTTGTTTTCTTGTCTTTTTATGTCAGCCTTATTCCAATCTGTGTGATGAAAGAGCATCAAGTAGGCAAGCCCGCGTGTCGGGATTCTATTTGAACTCAGCATGGTTTTGCCACACCTCTGCAGCGACATCTCTCCGGCCATTTGGCCTTTTCCTGCCATACTGGTTTATCCGGTGACAGGAACTTCCAACACCTTCCATTTCCAAGAAGCCGGTGAAGTCTGTCTTCTCCTTCATACTCTCCTCTTCAGCCAGCCAGAATTGTTTTCTCTCAGACATTGGATCAGTGTCTGTTTTTATTCTGACCAAATGATGATCATCCTACTAAGAACCTAATTAACTAAATCAGAGTAACAATTTATTGCAGCTTCGTACAGTAGGTTTAAAGTTGAGCATACATAGATCAGCGGTAACAGAAATCAAAATCCTTCAGAACTAATTTACGACAGCTTTGTGCCTTTGGTGCAACAATAATCTATATGTCATATCACAAATAATCATGCATCAATCATCCTAAGTCACAACAGATATTATCTAGAACTCAAAAGGCGTTTCTTTCTATTGAAGACAAGATAAATCCACAAATTTAGTAAGCCAATGGAAACTTTTTCACAGATGATGTGCTGGCAAGAATACCTATCGGATCAAANCCAAATGCATGCATATGGTCGATAAGATGATACTCGAGCTAGACCCACCATCAGATCTATACTCCTTCCCCATCTCAACATCTGGGAAGGAACCAGAAAATATCATGATATGCTTCCTCAGGCAGTGAGTTAATGCCCCGAGCTCCAACTGTCCACCCCATGCCGCTGTTGACTCAATTTCTTTACAATATTTCTCAAATCTATCTGCTAGTGAACCATCAGAATCACCTCCTATTGTGTTCTCAGAGAGGAAAAAAGGGAGGAAATCAGAAGTATGTGTCCTCATGTAATCAGCTACCATTTCCCGGAGCTCTTGGTAAGTGTAAGGAGAAGAACCACCAGAGAGATGAGCAAGCTGATCTTCAACAGCTCGGTACAGGCAGTGCCCATCTGGCTTTATTTCATTAATGGTTAATCCAAGAGGTTGAAGCTTTTTCTCCAGCTTTTCATTTTCAACTGTTCGATCACTCACAATGTTGCTCTGTTCTTCTTGAATTCTTTGCTCTCTTGCTGCTTCTTGCTGGGCTCTTTTTTCACGCCTCTTGGCACTCTTGCTGGGCTTTGATTGGTCAGATTGGCTGGTAGTGGAAATCCCAGCTATGGCCTTCACCAAGCTGTCCATATTGCCTTCCTCATTTTCATTACTGTTGCTATAACCAACAGAAGAAAGCTCCTCAGCATGTTTTTCTTTAAGCTTGGCAGAGAGCTGAGAGATCTCTTCCTCTACTCGCTTCTTCTTAGCCTTCTGTTCAGCCTTGCTTCCCTTGGCTGCAGCCTTTTTCAGTTCAATCTCCTTCTTTTGCAGCTCTAATTTCTCTTTTCTGCATTTATATCAGAGACATTGAAGGATTGCAACACAAGAAAATTCTGGAAGTGCTGAAACTGAACTAATCATAAAACACATACTTCTATCAAGACCTTGCCATTATTATTGGAAATATAGAGAAGTTATTCCCATATATACGTATCGCCGAGCTGTTGATTATTTCCAAATATAGAAGTAAGGGAAACTATATCCAAGCTATGCGCTAATCGACCATTCCAGAATGAGTTAACTATGTGAAGTAGGATAAATTACATTCTTCACATAAATTTATTTTCTAAAATAACACACTCTTGAACCTCGTGTTTCTTTGACCTAATACCTACAATTAATTAATCTATAAAACTCAATTTAGATAGCTAACAAAGGCCAAGTAGACCAATCCAATTTCAGCCGACAAGACAAAAACTGGATAATAATTCAAGAGCATTCCGATAAATTAAGAGAGAACTGAAATAGTAGATGCAATACCTGTGCCTAGATAGCATTTCATCAAGCAATTCCTCCTTTTGTTGAGATGCATTGACAGGATTTGCTTCAGATAGTTTGCCCTCAAGGTCTCGACTATCCTCCATTTGGCAATTCTACCAGACAGCAACACTGCAAAGAACATGGTGAATACCAAAAAAATCAACCAAGATATCGTGCATACTAAGAAGAATTAAAATTAAAATTGAGAAACATACCAGCAATTACAATGAAGTATTCAAATATAAGTTTTAGAAATTCTTCTAAATAGATAAAAAGAAAAAAAAAAGCATCGTCAAATTGGAGACAACTAGTCAAGTCAAAGATTCCCAATATTGCCATGAATGATCAAATACCATAAAGCTAACATAAAAAACCGGGTACAGAATCAAGCAAAATACATGCAACGAAGTAGATGATCAGCATGAAATCATGCATAGCCAACTCTTTTCCAGTCATATTTCTGTCAAATGAGGTCGAAGAAAATACTTACCTTCGATGCTTTGTTAGATGAAAAACCCATCAAGACACTAATTCAGACCCAAAATTTCTTCCAAAAAATGGATTTGGAAACTACGCTCACACGAGAAGATTATAATTTAGAAAGCTTAACTTGCAATTTAGTTTTATGAAGAATAACAAAATGAAGGAAGATAAATTCTGCTCAATTGTGATGCGAGTTCAAGATTTTAGAGCATTATCATAGACCAACAACTAAAAGAAATAGATACAAGTCCATTTGTTTCTAAACATACCAAAGAACTAGAACTGGGTGTTACATTTTATAACACACCAAAACAGAATTTATAACAAAAATAAAGGTCAGGACTGGGACATCACGGACAGACCACCTTCATTTTCTCATCTCCTCCACCGAGCAACAGATATTCTTCCAGAAAACAAAACCTTATCCATCATCTTCTAGTACTTGGAAAAAAAAGGGAACAGAAAAAACTAATGTTCCCCAAATTCCTTAGATTTTCTCATTTATCAGCAGAACATGAAATGGTCAGCAGCTACACGATGACAAAATGACAGCGTCTGATAAAGCAATCGTGATGAGAGAGGAGTTGGGAGGGAGAGAGAGAAAGAGGTTCGTTTTATGTTTAGGGAAATTCCTGCTACCACTTGCCGCTTGAAATAAAACCAACATCACCAGCACGTATCCAATTTCATCTTGATGATGAATCAAAAACATTTGAAGGTTGAAAGAACTCTATTAACTTTTACATACTACTGCTTATACTTTCAATTAAAAACCAACTTGAAAGACACGAAGATCAAAGCATCAAAAGAGACAGAGCAGCAGCAAATCACACCAGCTTTAACTTTGGACCAAAGAAACAATATATCTTCTGCATATAAAAATTTCTATTAAAAAAAAAAAACTGTTAAATCAGAGAATTTAGCGAACGCAACAGTCAAGCACTTTCATAATTTCCGTCGCTAAACTTATTGTTTAGCCACCTACCAGCAGACGGCCGCACGCGGAGGCGACTGACCGTGAACGATGGACCTCGAGTTCGCAGCGGTGCCGCCCGCAAGGTAGCGTGAGAGCTTACCAGCGGCGCCGGTGAGACTGCCGGCTGAGTAGTACTCTCGTGAGGCAGGAAGAGTGTCTACTTTTTGATGTGGTGGTGCAGAGATGGAGAGTTGTGAGATACGAGATCGGAAAGAAAGCAAATTATATTTTTTTTATTCTAAATTTAGGGTTAGGTTTTAATGTATTTAAATGGGTCGGGCCGGTTACGACTGGTGCGCCTTCCTTTGAATTTTGATTTTTTATTTTTTATTTTTTTTAAGAAAAATCTAATTTCTTATTTAATTTAATTTGAAAAATTCACAATTTTGTCGCACTTGCCATAATTTCGTTTTTAATTTTTTTTTTTATAATTTAATTTTAAAATATTTTTATTTATTTAATTGACTAATTAAATTAAATAATATTATTTTTTTATTTTTTAAAATAAATAGAAAAACATTGAAAGCCAAATTACTTCACAGACCAAATTATAAGTAAAGAATGGGTGGGTCCACAACATATTTCCTCCAAATCAGTCAAAACTCATCAAATCACAAAACCCAAAAACCAGCAAGCAGCATGCAACTCTGGAAAATTTCAGAACAAACTACATTCAAAATAATATTAGTTCAATACAATAAATAAATACCTCAAATTCTACAGTATATCGACAAAACGTAAATAGCTCTTCTCAGGTTTCAACAACAATCTCATCTATATATGAAAATCAATACAGCAAGAGAAAAAGAATGGGCTTCTTCTCAATCTGCCCGGCGGCCGAGACTGACAGCGGACGTTTGGCATCTCAGAATGCTGCAGCAATATGAACTCCCTTCCAGGAGGAGCCTTCAAATGTGAACTTTCCTAACTCTGATGTCAGACACGTAGGTTCGTATTTTACAAAATTGGAAGTTTGTCCCCATGCTCGAAAGCAAGACAACAAAACACAGGAACAATGAGTTGCACAGGGGGGTGGGACGAAACCCACGAACGTACAGCTGAAGAGAACGTGGGAGAGGACTCTACTTTCCGTGGCATGAATGATCAAAACACAAAATTATACATACTATCCAACGTTTTTAAGGGGAAATCATCCTAACCCCACAAAGTGGGCTTCCTGCAATGTTTATTCCCAGGGGTTGAAAAGTCCATAGTGTGCTTTCTAAAAAAGCTTATTCATATAGTTGCAATGGCCATATAGATAATATGAGCATATATCAGTCCTATTTTTGGGTAGAGGTAGACAAACCTTGATGATGAGACTAACCTTTGCACAATTGACTACAATTTACTGAGATCTATGAACAGAAAACATAAAAAGGTGAGTGAAACTGCATCCATGATGTAATGAAGAATGGTTGGATTTTTTTCATTTCTATCAACTTGAATGACGTATGTCACCACCTTGTCTTGTGTTTCTGCTACTGCTTAAAGGAACAGAGGTCTGACCTGAAATTTGTAAATCGGAAAGTGGGACGGACCCAGTCTGTGAGAAAATCAAACCCATTGAACTACTGGAGGTGCTTCCAGACGAAGGAATTCTGCTTAAATAAGAATCCTTTTTGGACCCTGAAATCAGTTCAGGCCGGAGTTCAGAGGAAGTTGATGAAGGGGCCAGGGTAGCCAGTAAAGATCCAACAGGATATGGAGCAACGGGCATGTCAACAAGAGATGATGCTGATGGACTGTACCTCATTGTTCCCAGGGGATGATCAAATTTACATGTACTTCCAAACTTACAGTGCCCATTTTGCAAGTAGAAAGTACAAGCTTGCACCCCTGTTTCTCAAAGATAAAGATGACATTAATCAATCAATCCAAATACAGAACATTGATAAAAAAAAAGCACGTAATTTTGCGTGGTGAACACATCTTAGAACCATCAAATATTCTCAGAAAAAAAAGATGCCCAATTTGCTCAAATATTTGAAATGCTGCATTACTGCCATGGAATGCAGAAGCCAAGTGCAGAAAGAAACTAGTTAAATGAAATACAGCCAAATATTCAATATCATCATTGCTAAGCATGATACAAGATAATGATCTTCAAGATCTAAATGCAGTACAGTGGCATATGTATTATGCCAAGAGAGAGCAAGAATTGCGAGAAAAGCTCATCCTGCATTAATAAATAACAAACAAAATGCTTTTCTTCACACAGACAAGACATGGTGGAAAGATAAAGTTAGGACGAGTGGCAAGGTCCACGAAATATGGAACAGTTGTTATGTAGCCAATTTCTTCAACTTTATCAATTTCCATGTTAAAATTTGTACATAAATAGTGATTAGAATAAGAGTTTACAGGGCTCCAGTAACACAATTGAAGAGTATCTATATAGATGAAATGTACTACTAAGGCATGAAAGCTTTTTATTAAGGAATTATAGCCACTGAAAATACACAAATCATGATTTTAATATAGCACGAAACTAATATAAGAACCAAATCTCCATGTAGAAGTTAGAATCATCATCATGTATCATTACAAATGCTTAGAAATTTTTTCCTCAACTACAAAAAGATGACACAAGAAAATTTTAGAAAACAGAAAAAATATTACCCAAGGATACGAGACCACATACCGGGCGCAAAGGGAGACCAATTGGACTGAGTGCACAATTTGTTCTAGGAGGAATCCGATCACGAGGATGATGGTACCTACAAGACGATCCAAATTTACAGTCCCCGGTTCTCAAGTAATACTGACATTCAGGTTCACCAGGTCTTTCTGGAAAAGTTTGTTCCCTCTGGCTATTGCCTAAAGGGCCAGCAGAAGAAGGTAAGGATGGATATGCTCCACCAAGTGAAGGAGTAGAAGAAGAAAGCTGTGTTACTCCATAAAGAGAAGTTGCCCCAACAGTGGGTTGTGCACCAGGGGATGGTACAGGGCTCACAGGTGCCTGCAACAGGTACAGCAGGGAAAGAATAAGAAACAGATCGACTGTGGGCAATATCTTAAAGGATGTATGAAGTTTAGCATACCGAATAAGGACTCCAACCCTGAATTGAAAAAACACCTGGGGAAACCAGCATGGGACCATAAGCCCCTTGCACATAGGAACCAGGTAAAAGTGGAGGTCTTGCCACTCTCAGGCTGGTGGATGCTCCCCCATATTGTTCAGGCATAGGAACTGATGGAGACTGCACCGGCGGATAAAACTGAGGTGCAGATGCCGGCATTGATGTGCCAGCAGGTTGAGGATGATGGAATTTACAGGTTATACCAAATTTGCATTGCCCCGTTTTCAAATAGTAGGAGCATTCTTTCTCACCCTGTTAAAATAAGAAGATCAATCCTGTTAAGTTTGTGAATACCACATGAGATGCATGCATATGAATTTTAGGGAAAACAGGAAGGGGGAAAATAAAACCTACTGGTCTTAATGGGTATCCGTATATATTCAGTGGGACATTGCTCATAGATCCACCTGCATTTTTTGGGTGGTGGAATTTGCAGGATGCACCAAATTTACAGGTTCCGGTCTTTAAATAAAACTGCTCATTAAGATGCAAAGTACCATCAGCAAAAACAAAACACTACATGACTTGAAATCTCAACACAACATCTCAGACCGCTGCCTTCCTTTTGAAAAAAAATTTACCTGACATGGGGGTTCCCCAATCCGTTCTGGGTACTCCCCTGTAGCTCTAACAGCGGCCTCAACCTATACATAGTAGAGATCATAAACTTGCACCAAGTAAATCTAAATTGATAACAACTTCATATTAAAGATGCTGAATTTAGCCATGTAAAGATTATTTCACCAAACTAAGGGAGATTAGCATTATAAATGATAAAATCCTATACACCATTGTCAGAAGCTATCAGAAACCACCAAAGAAAATTAGTATCAAAAGAAAAAATGGAAAATGACGCATCTCAAATTTTTTACACGAGTTAACAGTAAGCTCTGGGATTAAAACCACGAATAGAGCATTATTCATTTATTGAATACACATTCGAGAAACCCCATGAATTAACTAACCCCATAATGCAATAAATAACAAAACCAATTCAGTTACCGCGGCACGATTGCGAGGGTGATTGTAACGACACCTGGCTCCGTATCCACAAAACCCGGTTCGCATGTAGTATGCACAGTCGGGAACTCCAGGTCGCTCCGGATATGCTTCGCCGCTGCCCAGTCCCAATTGCCACATCGATTCTACACCAAACACAAAAACCAAATTACAACAAAACCCTAATTCCAACACTACATTACAAAAACCCTAAAGAAAAAAAAAAAAAAAAAAAAAAAACTCCCTCCTATGTGAATAAAGAGGGAAAAAATCAAGTAGACAAACACATATAATATACTAAATTTTAGGTCAAACTAGAGATAAAATGGACCTTCGAGACCAGTCTCGGGTCCCCCGGAGCTCCATTCGGGTTGGTGACCCGATTGCGACCCATTTCTTCCCGCGTTGCGACCGTACAACTCCATCGAAACGCGTTTCTTTAGTGAGAGTTCTGTACAGTAGCTTACAGACTTACAAAAACAGTACTAAATCCGAAAAAGAAGGAAAATAATTAAAAGTAAACTATATAAAAAAACCAAAAACGCTCTCTACATGAATGTTCCTGCAGCGTTCTAGAACGTCCTAGCCAATCGCCGCCGGCCGATCGATTCAACGGTGAGACCCTCGGAGGCGGAGAAGAAATAACGAAAGAAGAAGAAGAGAGAAAAGAGATGCTCTCACGGTACACGAGCTCTTTTAGCTTTCTCTCTCTAATCTCTCTCTCTCTCTCTAAAATACCCTACGGTCACTGGTTTTTGTGCTTTTTTTTTTCTGTTTTTTCTATTTTTCTTTTTGGACTTTTTATTTCTGCAGTAGTAGAAGTACCCGCCAATTCCCAAATAAACCCCCTGGAAATGGCAAATTTTCGCGGAATATAATTAAAAAAATAAATTATTTAAGCGTAAAAATATTACAAGTGCTTTGTTTTTGAGCTTAAAAGCATTAAGCAGGTAACCGACACTTGCCATTTTTGAAATTACTATAATACCCTTCGCACACGGCGAGGGGGACGAGGACAAATATGTCATTTCGGTTTAAAGTACGACCCCTCATTATTACAGGCGTGTCTTTATTGTTGGGCTGCCCTCAATAAGAAGAAGAGTCAGGTGTTGGAGAAATTTAGTGCCCCATTTTTAGAGGGTAACATTTTTTTCCTTAATTTATTAATGTTTAATTTTGGACCGTCAAATTAATATTACTCGAATTTCTTGGATAAAAAATGTACATTTTTTATATTAAAAAAATTAATAATTATATTTACTTCAGATATTTTCTCATTTTTTATTTAATAAAATAAATTTTATTCGAATTTTTTTGGTCTCTTATAAAACATCAAATTTTATTATTTTACAACATTTATTATTAATTCTAAACAACTTTTTTTTTTCGCATAATGCTTTAACAAAAATTAAAATGTATTTTGATATTTTTAGAGACCCCCGAAGTCTTATGTATTATTGGTATATTTTTTATTGATTATTTTAACACAATTTATAAAATAAATATATATACGTAATATAACATGTTTAATAAGTAAGTGATATTATGGACTTATAAATTTTTATTGAAATTATGGTGACAACATCTTTTTAAAAATATAGTTTTCGGTTTAATTGAATTGTTTTAATGAGATAGATTTATAATGAATTTTACTAAGTTTAAATTTAATTTTATCTCTATAAATAGCAAGATCTAACTCTCTCCTTGTGATGGATTTTATTTTTTTTATTTTTTTTTTTTGACGTTATTTGTTTAATATATTTATATCAATACAAAAATTAAAAATATATTTTGAATATATAATAATTCTTATTAATTATACTATAATAAACACACTACTAATATATCATATTTAATCATGTTAATATAAATAAATTTATAATAATACTAAATTAAATATATATTATGTCATATTCATATGAGTTCAATAATTTAAATTTGTGAAACTTGTTTATTTTTTATTGTTAATTTAATTCAACCTAACTACAATATATTCTCTTACAAACATTTGAATATAAAAAGTTGTACGTAATAAATACGAGCATCTCAATAATAATGTAAGCCGATAAAAAATTATAAAGATTGTTAAATTACACGATTAATTAAAAAAATAATAATAATAATACAAATAATAATTTATTAATTTTTTATATTATTTATGCTTAAAAATAGTGATTGATGCACATAAATAAACACACATAGGTGAGACTTATTTGAAGATTACCATTTGGTCATTGATTGATACACATGAAACCCTAATGTCATTTTCTTTTGATCCCCATTTGGAAATGGGTACACAGGCCTTTTCTAAAATTACTTTCCTTTTGGAAAGTTAAAAAGAATATGAAAAGTGACATATCCTTTAATCTATATAAATTGAAATTACTTAGTTTTATACATTTATAGGAACTTACCTTTAAAATTTATTTAATGCATCCATAATTAAATCAGTATACACGAGCACATAAG